CATTTTATAAAATACCATCGGAACTGAATCGAAAACATCCTTACAAAAGTTAAAATAAACAAATTAGAAGACAACGCTGGTGAAATGCAATTAAACGTGAAGATTTAACTGGCAGTAAATTGAAATATGCTGTAGTTTGTTCGAGATATATGTATTTCAGTAAGCTATCAATAATTTAGAGGAACTGAACAACTATTATTATTAAAGAATGTATATTAAAATGACGCGTGTTCGATATTGTGAGACAATCGAATTGTGTGCCCTGACTGTTTTTTTTTTTTGTTGGAATGCCCTATAGCTAGTAGTTAGAACCAAGTAGCTACCGATGTCCATATTTGTGACTGGAGGGAAGTCTTCAGGTTTTGAACTCAGAGCAGAATTAGCCAAACCAAACGGATCAACACTGTTTATGGCCGCAATTTTTTGTTTCTAACGCACAGCTACATCAGGTTTTTCGCGTTCCAATTTTATCAGGTGGTCAGCCATAAGTACTTTAGTTTACGTTAAACCACAAAAAAATTAACTTATTTGGGTTTTATAAAATAGTTTTTAGATTATGTGACACATGTGACACTTGTGTGACACAATCGAATTGTGTGCCCTCTTTGTTTATTTTTTTGTTGGAATGCCCTATAGTCTTTTTAAAGTCAGTTGAAACAAGGTAAAAACAAATTGCAACTGGTGACTGACTAGTGGCAGTGCATTTCTTATGGAAATATTCAATCACCAGTCAGCCACCAGTCGTTATTTATCTTCACCTTGTTTCAATTGACTTTATTAAGACTATACCTGGGTAAGTATTTCAACTTCACCACAATATTGCACTGGAATTTTGGTATTATCAGCAAACATGATTTCTGTTTGGGTTCTCTCTGGTTCAATAACCAATCTGGCCTACAAGTTAGGTGAACGCTCGCACCAGAATCTAAGTACCATTCCTCGTTGTTAAATTTGCTGGTAAGAAAAACAACATTAAGGGCCAAATTATGGACCAACTGGTAAGTGTCTGGTTGTTACCTAGCAGGTACTTTCTATTCTCTAGTGCATAGAAAGTACCTGCTAGGTAATAACCAAACGTTTACCAGTCAGTCCATAATTTAGCCCTAAAAGCACTATTTTGACCACCTTTCTGATTTCGGGGACATTTTGACATGAAATGACCTTGTAGTTTACATTTAAAACATATGATTTTATTTGTATTTTTATTTTTGCTGTCATTGAAGCCACGTCCAGCGTTGCCGCCACCTCGGTTTCCATGTCCATGACGTTTGTTGTAGTTACCTGATTTACTAACGAAAGCGCCTGCTGTCGAACTCGTCCCGCCATCTGGTTGCACGTCGAGCAGTTTGGCCTTGATGGAATCAGTGGTAATGTTGATACCATTGTGTTCCAAAGCCATCACCATCGGGGCAAATCGTTCTGGCAACCCTGCTAAAAGCAAACTGCCTACCAACGTTGTGTCCTATCAAGTTTCTGGGAATTGTCGATGACTTGATTCACGTACTTTTCCATAGATGCACAATTTTCTCACCTCAATGAGATTAAAGTATGGAGAAGACCAATTTTTCTTGCAAAGCCTTTATTTTCATAGAGGTTTCTGAGTTTGTTCCAAACGTCTTTAGCGGTTGTAGCCTCCTTAATGTGCACATATAAAGAAGAATCTAGGGACAATGCAATCTTTTCCTTGGCTTTTGCAACTACTATAGTATCCGTTTCCGAGCCATCGATGCATTTCACTAGGTCTTCAAAATTTTCCATGGCATACGACCCCTCCTCGTAATTTTCACGGCCTTGAAGCTTCGCGATACCGGAAAGATATTTCACCGCCATTTTGGTACTCCATGGCGATCGATCGCGCACTACTGTACTACTGTTCGAAATCAAAATTTGAAACGATTGAGTCTTTTCTACGTAACAGCCACAGAACTATCACACGTAGTAACTTTTACATTTTCGAAAAACAACGCCCTGAGCGGCCTGGGCCCATAATCTATATAAGGTACCTGTCCCAAATAAGGCCATGTACCTAATAAGGCCAGTGCCCTTTATTGCCTAATATTGAATCCCATTTTCAAAAATTACGATATTATTAAAAAAGAAATCTATAATGTGAATCAAAAATTATTGCAAGGGTTCCTAGTAACTCGTCATATGTCGAAAAATGGCCAACCACATATTTCATATGTCACGTTATAACTTTGAGGCTGGAACTCAATTAGCTTATTATACGTGTTTATAAAGTGAATGGCGCGATTGTTATTTTTTAAGGAACATTTATGTATTGAGAAAGCTACAGAGTAAGTACAGAATAATATCGTTGCTAGATTTCTAGTTACAGACTTTTTTTTATCAATTTAACATGTTCCTAATAAGGCCATCATACGAAAAATGTTCAATTGGCCTCACATCAAAGTGTTTTTTTAAAAGAATGTCATATTATTATCTGAATGATGTTTTTTGAAATGCCTGGAGTCTTACCAAACAAGAGATGCTGCGGCTCATTTGTCCTAATTGTATGCAGACCTATTTGAATTACCATCCCAGGACTTCGAATTATTGTTTTTTTAGGAATGCAGCAACGTATAAGTTCTATTTTGTGTACTCTTTCTCAAATAATAATATTTTTATAAATATTTGTATTTATTTTAAACATTTTTTAATGGTGGCCTTATTAGGAGCATAGTGATCCAAATACAGCCAATGGTAAGCGTTTTTGTTTTACGCAAAAACCACCACTTATATGGAAAAATAAATAAATTGGAGTTAATATTCTAGTAACAGAAGCGAAACACTTCACATATAAGCTGGTGATTTTGGTTGGGTTTGGTGGATAATGCTAGGAAAAAAATTAAACTTCTTAACATGGCCTTATTTGGGACAGGTACCTTATATAAAAATTAATGCCACTTTTCGTTGTAATTTTATAACTCAAGAACGGGCTCACCCAGCCAAACCAAATGTTTAGGCTTTGTTCGGACTATTTATTAGATGGTTTATGTGAAGTTTGCACAAAATCGGTCGAGCGGTTCTTCATTTATCACATTTTTTGTAATAAATGAATTATTCAATAAATGGAGGATCATTTTGTTATCATTATTATCTATATATATAAAACACAGTTGTGTTGGTTCTAGCACTTATAACTCGAGAACAGCTGGACTGATTTTTATGATTTTTGCTTTATTGGATTTGTCTTTGTCCATACTAACATAATAAATCGAAAAAATCCAAAAAAAAGACAAAAAACAAAATTACCTATTTTACTTATTTATGAAAAAGCCCGCATACGGCGCCATCCCTTATAACCGATACCAAGTTTACCGCCACATTTTCATTGCAAACCATTTTGACCATTTTGTATACGGCGCTATCTCTGATACCTAGAACGAAGCTCACCGTTGCGCGGTAATTTCATTGCAGATACAGTAGAACAATGCTACTCAGGAACTGGAGCTATTTCGAATAGAACTATTCCACTATTCCAATCAGATAGAGTGGTGCAGAAAGAGTAGATCAGATAGAATAATAGTGCAGATAGAGTAGAATAGATGGAGTAGTGCTGTGCAGATAGAGTGAAACAGGGCTGCGCTGGAGATTTTTTTGTTTTCTTTACATTCTTTGAACATTCCTGTGCCTGAGTTTATTTATTTGATGGTACACTTTACAAGCATAATGCCCACAAGCTGCCTAAAAAGGGATGATGTAAAATTTTAAATTTAGGTGACTTCTGATCCAGAGAGTAAACATTAATTTTTTTCAACCAAAGCCAAATTCACCATCGAAAAAAACTGAATTTAATTCAGCTAATAGATACGTTAATACAACATTTAATAGGTATTTAATAATTCAGAGGCCGTACGAAGTTCGCCGGGTCAGCTAGTCTGTTAATATTTCAGATACAAATCAACAAACCATCAGATCGGAAGGACCAGGTTCCAATATCGGGGAGCTGGAAGCTACCTTTGTGGCTGTTCGGGGCCCATGAGGCTTTTCTACTATCAGAGTAGATGATGATTGTTCTGTCCTCAGTTTTTCTGCAGACTCCTAACCTTTTTACCTTCATCGACTACATAATCTATCCATGATGATAACTGGGTATTCTTCCACCGAGGGAACCCGAATTTTCCATTTCACAAAGTATAAACAAGTTAAAAATATTTTGAGTCCACTAAATTTGAAAATACCCGCGCTTACCTTTCAACCACTTGGAAATGTTAAATGTCAATGTAAGCCCTTCGATGGAAAACGAAAAGCACAAGAACCAGACACGTTCAATAAACCGATAGTAAAACTGCTCGAATAAAAAATGTTAATATTTGGAGTTTGGTATTAAGCAAGAAACGCCAACTTTCGGAAAGCGATGTAAAACTGTGGGCCTCATGTTTCAGATGTGATGTACGGAAAAGATCCCTTCCATAGACAAAGATGTGTTCGGCAAAATTTTCCGATTGGTTGTGACAAACTCCCTGAAAACCGTGATGTTCCACAAAAAATTAGGGTTCAATCAAAGACCTTATAAAACTAGTTTTATAAGGTTTAATCAATAATAGCAATAGAATCGTTCAAAGTAGATACAGCCGAAACATTGCCTTTTAAGCAATCTGAATACGTTATTGGTTTTATCTAGGTTTTTCCGACGCATTTTATTCGAATGCTAATTAATAAAATACATGATAAAAGTCATGTTTTAGTTTTAAAATCAAAATTCAGTCTTATTAATTGGCTATTCGTATAGCATATTATAGGCCTCAATGAAAAATGAACTGAAGTAATTATTCTTCACCAGGAAGACTAATAAAACAAATTGGTTGAAATTTAAGATCTTGTTTTTCAAAACCAAAGATAAAATCCGAACAACGCCCTGCCTTGACAAGAAGAAATTTAACTTTAATGTCCTACGCGAGCATAATTATTGCCTAAAGTACCACAAAATCCGGAATCGCGGGCCGCAAACAAGGACGAGCCGATCACTATAAAATGGATCTTTTGGTCCGAGTCGAGACACAGTCAAATCGCGTCTTCGTAACTGACAAAAAATACACCATGAACTTCTTCGTAAGTACCTAGATTTAAGATATATTTTTATTAGGTTCTTTTATGCATTATCTTTTGTAGAATCTTGTGCCATAGGTACTTTAAATTGTGGAACATATCTACTGCTGTACTGCTTGTGGTTTTTGGTTTAAGAACAGAAAAATAAATTTATTTGCATTTCGGACTCCAATCTAAATTTATCAAAATTTGCAGTCTTGCTCAATTTTCCACGTACCTACCTATCTATGGTAATATATATTTTAATTTATAACTTCTGCAGTTCATTCAAATGCATTTCTTGGGTTATTCTCAATTTTTTTGTTAATGAAGCATATTCTTTATGGAACAATATTATTGACATTTTACATTTTTTTGGTAATTTTGGATTTTCTAGTTAGAATTATTATTATTTTTTAATGTGTTCGGTTGTATTACCTAGGTATACCTTGGCATTATTATTGCTTTTATGTTATTTTTTTTTAGTATATTTCTCTTTGCCATTTTCGGAATATTCTTATCTTATTTTATCGTTTCTTTTTATTAGAGCAGAAGCTGCTCAAGACAAAATCATTCTTTAAGTGAAACATTTAAACCACTTTTTTGAAAAATATTTTGTTTCTTTTCAGGTGTTCGTAGCTTTCTTCGCCTGTTTGGCAGCAGCAAATGCAGGCGTAGTTGTAGCACCCTCAGCTAAAATCATCCAAGGACCTAGCTCCAGAACCACCATAGTCGGTCCAGATGGTAGTTCCATTTCTTCAGTCCAACCAGGAGGTGCCATCGTCCACGAAGACGGTGCCGCCATTGTAGCCGATACTGCACCAATTGTAGCTCGTCATGCTCCAGCTCTAGCTTACTCAGCTGCTCCAATCGCTTACACCGCTCCATTGCATTACTCAGCTCCTTTGGCCTACACCGCACCAGTGGCCTACAACGCTCACTTAGCTTACAACGCACCGTTAGCTTACAGCTCTCCATTAGCTTACAGCGCTCCGTTAGCTTACTCAGCTGGTGTAGTAGCTGAAAAGCAATTGGACACTGTTGTAGCTGGACCGTCTGGAACGATTGCCACAACGAAGACTGTCAATCGTCCAGCTTTGGTTGCTGCTCCTCAAGTTTACGCCGGTGGACTTCATGCCGCTTACTACCTTTAAGAAAGACGCCATAATATGACTTTAATTTATTTTTAGAATGTAAGAGAAAAATTTAAAAAAAAAATCAATAAAGACGAAGAACATAATATTTCCACTGGCTCTATTTATTTTGTTTAAATATATCTAACAAACCATACATTATTAGGAGTCTGTTTTATACAAGCTTTACGGATGGTATGCATTTTCTAATCATGCTTTATTTTTGTACCCAAGAAACACTGCTTGGGGAGTCGTATTTTTCAACATTCACAAACTCAATCGCAGAGCAATTAAAACTAGCAGAGAACAATATATATTTTTTTTAATGGCGTACGTTCTTTATCAATAGGAGTCATTATTTTGAAATAAAGCCTGGAAAATATTCACGCGCCTTTTAATTTCATTGTAGCAGATTTCATTGATCAAATTTTATTGTTGGGACCACCAAATTGTCTATAAAATTTAGTTTATTAGCTACTGTTCTAAATAGAAAAAGACGTGTTGCCAAATTTTGAATGTGAAATACAAGAAAAAGTTAAACAAGCGATCTTGAGCAAAAGGATATTATCAAGAAACAATTTCTATTACTAATATCATTTATTTTTATTTATTTATGAATATAAATCCATTCATTCGGTAGTAGTTATTGTTCAACAAAGATATGGAGATCTATATAATACGGTTATTGTTGAAGTGTTTAGAAGGAATCTTTAAGGCTCTGAAGAATGAAAAGTGTGACAGATTTAATGACGATATTCATTTTTTGACAAGTTGTCATACCATACCGGCAACAAAAAATCAAAAGTTTCAATAGGATTGCCAAAATCACGTCACTTTTAGTTTCAACATCCTCCCTCAATGGACGTTTTAGTCAATCCCATTCTGCTTCTTAAAAATTCTATATGGTTTCTCAATGGAACTTAGGATTTTGGATCAATTCAATTGCAGCTTCGTTGTCAACATTCAGCACTGGAATTGAATTTAAGTCCAGAATTTCATCAAACAAGCGTTTTATCCACACAATTCGCTTCGCTAGCCTCCACTAAATCAGCTTCAGTCTGTGATACGGCAAATGGCAATTGATGCCTGTCTTTGGCTTAGCCTCGTGATTGCCCCATCAGAAAACATACTTAAAAGTTTTGAAGTTGAGCGACCTGTGGTTTCATCGCCACCATGGCTTTAATTTGTTCTGGTACTCCTGGATTATATATCAAAACAAACTCAGTAGTACCTTTTAGGTAATGACAAATTCTTTAACTCTTCCAACGTCTTTTTATGAGAGATTCTCGAGTTTTTTGGAAATAACAGTAACTGCATAGGCAATGTCTAGTCGCGCTCGAGTGCTTGTCATCAAATACATTAAGGCCCCAACAGCCTCCTATATGGTAATGTAGTACCTCCCTAATTGTACACCTTTCACCGTTGGCGTCGATACAGGTTTACAATGTTGCATTCCAAAGCGGTTAAGAATTTTTCTAGTACAAGCCGTTTGGCTTACTTCTACGGCACCATTTCCAGTTCTTTTGATTTCTTAACCCAAAAAATAAGAAGCTGGTTTTGTGGTAATTTTAAATTCTCATCGTAGACTTTCTAAGAAGTAATCCATTAATTTGTCGTTGGTTGAAGCCAAGAGTCTATCATCAACATATAATGCTAGTAGAAATGTGTCATCTTCAACTTTCTTTATAAAGAAACAAGGGTCGGCATCTGATCTTTTTCAAAACCAAGAACTTCTATGTAATCGGTAAATCTTTAATTTCAACATCTAGGTGCTTGTTTTAGTCCATAAAGATTGTGCTGAAATTTATAGACCATCCTACTTCCATCTCCATACCCCTCTGGTTGCTTCATATAGACGGTCTTATTCATCTGGTTTTCCATAGAGAAATGCAGTACATACGTCGAACTGAGTGAGTGTCATATTCTTGCTAACAGCAATACTGAGCACTGACCTAAATGTTTTTCCCTTGGCTACAGGATTGCAAGTCTGGTCATAATCTTCACTTTCTCTTTTTGAATAACGTTTAAAACTATCCAAGCTTTGTACTTGTCAATTGACATCTGGATTGATCCTCACTTTATACACCCAATTATATGGTATTGCCTTCTTTCCTGGTGGTAACCTCCTAACCTCCCAAGTACAATTTTCTTGTAGTGACTGTATTTCTTTATTGCCAAAATCCAATTGTCTTTACCTTGTACGCATAGCATCTTTGTAGCTTAGTACCTCTTGTCGTTCGCTTATTTCTGCAACAACTGTCATGACATAATTTGTTCTCTCTCTCAATTGTTTTCTTATTTCAGTTTGATCTTCTAGGTCTTCTTGTACTATTCTTTGCTCATTTTCTGACGGATCTGTCATTTCTAAACTTGTGGGTCTGTATGTATGTAGCAGAGGAAAACTGTTGTTTTCTACTTGTTTTTGAGTTTCTAAAGCTTTAAACTGATCAAAAATGACGTCTCTTGATCTAACAAGTTTTCTTTGTCCTTTTGCCCAAATTCTGTATCCATCATCATTTTCGTAACCTATATGAGAATTCCCTTAACAGCTTCCTTATTCATTTTCTTACGTCTACTTTTAGAAATATGAGGGTAGAAAGTACTACATATTACTTTTAGATGATTGTAAAAACAAAATGGTCTAGCAGTTTTCTTCATAAAATCTTATTTTTACTATCAAAATCTATGTCTTTCGACTCTTAGATGTTTTAGGTTAAGCTTCTTCTGATTCCAAACTTCAAAAGGAGATTTTTGATCCACCCCTGATTGGCTTGTTCTCTTTAGGATATATACAGACGTATTGATAATTTCTGCCCAAAATATTTGTTCAAATATTCCTTCTCTGGCATACATCAATGCCCTTGCAGTCTCCACAACAGTCCTATTTTCTCTTTGGAAACAGCCATTTTGTTGTGGTGTGTAGGGCATGATTTACCTCTGTCTTATGCCATGATGGCCTAGAAATTGTCCTACTTTGCTATTGTCAGATTCTCCACCATTGTCTGATAAAAGATTTTTGTGCCATATCTTGCTGCTTTAATTTTAGTTATAAAACAAGTGTTAGCTTCTCTAATCTCTACCAATTCTGATTTGCGCTTGATAAAGTTGACGAAACGGTACCTGCGGAAGATGCAGATGGTATAGCAGCAGGTACAATTAACCAGTCCTGGGTACTGGTTGTGGTTGAGGTGGTCAAACCAATCTTAAGGTTTAAATTCACAGTTCGGAAGGATTATATAAGCGTACCACTAAAAGGCTTAGGCTTGGTAGTGATAGCCTTACAGTAACAGTCTTGGTTATAATTGAACATGTATTGCTGTGTTACAACCGTGAGTAAAAACCTTCAAGAAAAACTGTTATAACAAATACTAACTGAATCTTAGCCCGAATAGACAGAATAGACAGAATTAGAAAATTAAATTAAAATGCAACCTAATTAGTATTTAATAACGAATTTACTTGATAAAACTATGGCTCTTGAAAATTATTGTAATAGGAAAATTGAATAATAACATGTATCTATGAAAATAATTAAACAAATTATAGGCAAAATCAGATAAAGCCTCAATAGAAAAGAAAATATGGGAAATTTAAGGTTATTAGATTATGTCTCACCTGTTGAAATAAGGTTTTATTTGCCACCAAAAATACTTTAATCCGCTGGATTAGTCGGAATTCGAGATCCTGGATAGAATTCGGTGGTCTCTAGGGCTGCTTTTCACTAATGATCAAATACAGAAAGTCAGAATCCCTTGTGGGAAAAAACATGCAAAGCAAAACTTACCGAAATGGTTTTTAAAAATCCGAAATCATTGGCGAAATTATGGCACTTTACGAAAACCTAACGCAATGTAAGGCAATTCAATGTAGCTTAAATAGACCTATCTATTTTACCAGGCAAAAAGGATAATACGAAAACTTTATTAGATAGAAAAAGACGCATAACGCTTATTGCGCAAGACGAGGCAAAACGTACCAAATTATGTTAGACTTACGTATAGCAATCCGTTCTTATTATTTGCACGGGATAAAAAAGGAAGGAGGAGAACCGCGTGACGTGCAACCTATTTGTCAATCAAAAACACAGACAATTGAAAATCGATCACTTGTCAAGCTACATCAAGTTGAATATCAAGCATAATTTTATCCTTGTCAGACTACGGGCAATGAACAAGGACAAGGAGATGCCCAGCGTGCAAAAGGATTACTTCACGCCTGTACTAGTTAGCCAATAAAAATGCATTGCCTCCTGTTGCGCGTGCATACAGGTAAAAATATACTCCTGGACAAAATTATCGCACCACTGCACATAAGCATCACCATAAGCAGTGGTGCGATAATTTTGTCCAGGAGTATAGATAGGTCTGTTCAATAACTGAGAAAATTAGGTCCAAAATCCCCTTTGGGGCGAAGACAAAATTAAATTCTTCAAGAGGGACCCTTTTCTCGGAACAACAAGATCGTGAAAAGGAAGACGCACTACATGAAATTAATTAGCTGTCCTAGATTTGAAGAATAGAGATGAGGCAAAGTATCGACAAATGTCAAAAATAAATCGGTAAAATTTTAAATACGAAAAATTGCACACAACAATATAATCAGCGAAAAATGACAACAGCTGACGACTAATGATAACAACAAGTAATTAACTACTAGAACAATCATAATTTAAATAATACGACAATAAATAAACAATTCGTGTTGCAATTCGTAAACGCTTACAAATGAATCGTTGATCCCAAAACCATTACTAATCGAAGGGCCACTTGACAAAAATGAACGACACTTCTCCAGTCAGCTGGCACACAAATCATGAATGACATGACTTAAGTGTCACTATAAAATAGAGAGCAACCCGGTGGTTTATGGAACCGGATTCCGGAACTAAATCTGATACTGAGTTCAGCAACCGAACATTTACGTGCACTTCGTGAATGGACCACTATTTGGAAAACATAACCCAAGAATAAGAAATATTTGATTTGTTTACATGAAAATGAAAATGGAATTGGAATATTGATTAAAATCGAGGAAAATCATTAGTCGTCAACAAGAACTAGTCACAAGTGAAGTAGAATTTAAATAATAAAGATAAGAAAATTTACAGGATTTGCAACTTCTGTAATTATTGTTGAATTTTTATGAAGGAAAAATGTAAACAAAGCCTAATAAAATCAGGAAAAAATTTAACATCTATAGGAATTTCCAATGAAAAACTGAAAATAAGTGTGAAATAGTTTTGCAAGTTACAAACTTTGAACAATACAGAATAGCGATATCCTGAATATAACTTGTCGAAGGGTCCACACACACACATCAGTGTGTATAAGCTCACGGTACTTTGGCACGCTCCCTAGTGCAGAATTTCAAAA